TATTAGTGTGTTGAATTGACAATTATTTTTTAAAATTTTATTTGAACACTTGTTTTAACACGGTGATATTTTGTAAAATAAAATAATAACGAAAAAAGTATATATTTATTTTTGGCGCAGTATTTAAGAAATAATAGTATTTTAATTATAGTTAAAAGTAGTGTAATGACATTTTTGCCCTTGTTTTTTGGTATAAAAGTAATAATGTGATGTAAAGTAATGATATTTGTGGAAAAAAATGAGGTATTTAATGAAATGTTTACTTTGTAATTGGACGTCCCAAAATAGAAATGTGTATACTTTCTATCTGGACGGAAGGAGTATGTTTTTATAAAAAATTATAAAAACTAAATAGTAAAAAATATTAAATGAACATAATTAATGTTTTAATTTTCAAACTCTAAATTATCGAACTCCAACAATCAAAGAAAAAAAAAAAATTATTTTTCTCTACCAAAGACATTGTGACATTAATCTAACCACTATCTTAATAAAAAATAAAAAATAAAAAATAAAAAATAAAAACACTCGCACAAGAAATTAAATAAAAATCACAAGTAATTTTGATATTTTTTATTGCTATGATGATATATAATTGATCAGATTTTAGCTAAACTTTTATTGTTAAATTTCAAATTTTTTAAGTAGAATAACGGTTAAATACAATATTCTTTTCAAATAAAGAATAATTAAAAACTTAGAAGTTAAAAAAATAAAAATAAAAATACAGAAATCATGGTACATATTAGAAATTACTTATATAATTTTCGCATAATTTATTTTGGATTTGTTCATTTGTATTGTTTATAAATGTATTTTTTATATTAAATATAAAAAATTATATTGATAATATAAAAAAATAATTTTTTATGCTAAATAATTAATATTTTAGGATTAAATAATATATATTATATATATTGAATTAATATATATTGTATATTTTAAATAATATTTACGTGGAATCATTCAACTTAAAAATATTAAGCTATACTGATCGCTTAAATAGTTATTCTGTCAATAATTTTTCTATGGTTGTTTTTATTAAGTTTAATATTGAAAATTTAATCTCTTCCTATTAAAAGTAACATTGAAAAAAAAATAAATCATTGTATCATATCTATACTGTGTTAATACCGGTAAAACTATACTATGCATATTGTAATATCGCAACTTTGTTGTCTTTGAATTTTTTTTACTATGTGTTACTTCCATACATTTTTCGGGCTTCCGGACATATTAGCAGTGATCGAACAGTCCAAATTTAGCCCAAAAATAGCCCAATGTTGACTCGACCAAGAGCTAAGGAGACGAACGGATAAGAAAAAATTCAATTTTTTTTTTTTTTATATTTTAAGTAAGTCACACTGAGCGAACCATGTGAAAAAAGTGAACCTCATGGCATTAAGGAAAAAAAAAATTCAATTTTGCTAAAGAAAACAGGGGAACCCTGTTTCTAAAAAAGTGGAGAGATTGAGAGACTTGTAAACAAAATAAATTTATAAATATTTAAAATGAGCCAAAATTATAGGAAAAGAATTTGTAAAAAATAATCCAGCTCCTATTTTTCGAGTAAATTGCAAAAAATATCCCATATTTATACCCTATTATCACTTTTGTCCTGTATTTATCTCCTTGGCAAAATATATCCCACATGTTTACAAAAGTCGTTATTTATGTCCTTTTCTCGCGCGTGAAATTCACACCACGCGCCCTTACGCGCAATCACGCGCGGCCACGCGCGGTCAAAGGATAGAAATAACGACTTTTGAATATATGTGGGATATATTTTGCTAGAGAGATAAATATAGGACAAAAGTGATAATGAGGTATACGTGTGGGATATTTTTTGCAATTTTCCCCCTATTTTCCTATTACTCCCTCCGTCCCATAACAAAGTATTCATTTTTCTATTTTAGTACGTCCCATAACAAAGTATCCATTTTCCTTTTTAGTAATTGTATTATCTACCTAATATTACAAATACCCTTACAACTCATAAGATATTACACAAATATCGTTACATTTATATCATATCATACTAATAAGGTTATTTTAGTCATTTTTACTTTATTCCTACTACGTCCCAATATAATACTAATATTTCTAAAATTACGTGTAAAAAATAAATGAATACCTAGTTATGGAACGGATAAAGAATTTTTTAACATTAACTTTTGTTGTGAAACTAGCTAGCATATTTTCTTGAATTGGGCGGGAAACTCAATTCACATCGATTTTAACTGGCCTAAATTTATTGGGCGTCATCAAAGAAATTTTGATAGTGATAACAATGTCTAATGCAACAATTTTTTTATAAAGATATAATTTTTATATTAATATAAAATATAGCAAATATAGCCTATTACTTAGATTTATTATATGCACATTCTATAAGTGTGTCTTTTCGTAAAAGTTTGAAAAAGTTGATGTTTTTGGAAAATTTTTAGTTTAAGTTTAATATTAAAATAATATACGATAAAATATTTTGTGAAAAGAAAAACGTAAAATTCAAATACTAGAAACCTAAGTTTTGAGTTTAAAGAAACAAATCCTTACATTTTGTTTAATATTAAAATAATACTTGATAGCATACTTTACAAAAGAAAGAAAAATACTCCCTCCTTCTCAAACATCGTGCAACATTTTTTTTTTGATATGTCTCAAACATCTTGCAATATTTTTAAAATAAGAAATAATTAATTATACTTAATTTCTACCCCACACTTTATCCCCTTGCATCGTCCAAATAAAAAAATAAAATATATATTTCTCTCCATCACATCACCTAATTTCTAAATTATTATACTTAATACTACCTACCTAAAAATTCGTGACAAAAATAAATTTTGCACCTTATTTGGAACAGAAGGAGTAATTCTTTTCGACGAACCGTCCAAATAGTAAAAAGTTAGAATATTTTTGGATTAAAAAAATAATAGTAGGGTTTGAAATTCAAATAATTGTGGACCAAACTCAAAGCAATAAAAGAAGTTAAACTCAATATTTAATTTCGAAGCCCAAGCTGTATATAAAGGCCAATCTATGGCCCAATGAATCCAACCAAATCCAATAATAATAACAAATTTATCTCTTTTATATATATATATATATATGAATGTGTCTAATAAAAATATATTATTTTTTTTATAAAATATAATATTAATATAATTTTGAAAAAAAAAAATTAAATATAAATATTTGTTTCAAATTAATTTTAAACGATAACCAAACAAATTCTATGATCCATTTTTTCTTATAAAGAGTGACAAAAAGGGGTGAGCAAAATTTTATTAGAATAGGAGATTTGTTTGGGCGTGTTTTTTAACTTTTTTTTTATTTATTGATCTCCTCCTTTCACATAATTTGTCATTATATTCTATTTTTGTCTATTTCAGATAATTTATTATTTTTTTAAATATAATTTTACACTTTAATCACATTTTAAATTTTAGAATTTTTTAAATTTTAATAAAATTATTTAGTTATTTTTAATTTTAATCTTAATCTATAATTATTTTTACTAAAATATATTTCTTAATTACTTACTAATTATACTTTACTTAAATTCTCTCGTCTACGAGAATACACCCATATTATATGAGACGGAGAGAGTATCATTTTTGTACTATACATTTATAGTAAATTATTTCCACTTTTATGAAAACATTTCACTCAATACATTAATTTTTATTTAACATATTACATTTAAAATTTATTTTGAATTTGGAATATCATAAAAAATATTTGTTTATATTAAATCAAATAGTTTTTTAATTTAAAATTTTAGTATTTTCAAAAACACCATAGTACAACCAAACAAGTATTCATGTCAAGTTTAGATTTGAATTTAAGGTTTCAGAATAATAAAATTTTTAATTAAAATAGTATTTGATGTGATATAAATAATTGTTAGATACGATGGTTATAATAAATTTAAAAAATATATTTTTTTATATAATATAATAAATAAATATTTAATTCGATATCTTAATAAAATAAAATAAATTTAAATGTCTTATTAATAATATAATCAAAATCAAATCTAAAATATAAGAAAATTTAATACAGTTTGATGAGAAAAATATAATAATAATAATAATAATAATAATGTAGAGTTTCAAATCATATGAATAATTTGTCTAATTTTTCTATTTTGGTCTGTCTTGTAACAAAGTATTTATTTTTTTATTTTTAGTAATTGTACTATTTACCTAACATTACAAATATCCTTCAAATTTACAATATATTACACAAATGTCATTATTTTTATATCATATAATACTGGGTTAATTTAATCTTTTTACCTATATTTCTACTTTATTCCAATATAATATTAATATTTCTAAAACTTCGTGCAAAAAACAAATGGATATATCGGTATGGGATGGAGGGAGTATATGCTTATGTTGGCAATAAAAATCAACTTTGCTTGTCGGACCTCGTTTGTAAAGTATTATGTTCGATCGAAGATTTACCCTGTGCGCACTTTTGGATAGTAGCCGCGTTTTACCAAATTATAAAAAAAATAAAAAAATAAAATAATAATAATAATAATAATAACCAACTTTGTTGATTTTCCGTTGAAAGTTCCTTTTCCTTTTTGTTGCTTGCTTGGATTTTCTTTCTTCTTCTTTTTAAAATATTTTTGAAGAATTTATTAGAAAAAAAAAAAAGAAATTAACTAAAAAAATACACATCATATAGAAGTTAGGAATTTAATACAATACTTTAAATTAAACTTAATACAGTATATAATTTAATATAATCTCTTAAAATTATTGTCAATAAATAATACCAGCTCTATCCGATTATAAGGATTTTATTTATTTTTTGTTGGTTAATTTTTTAATATTAATTATTATATCAAAACATAGTATAAATTAAAAAAAAATTACAAAAATACTTTCCATAGTGTCTTGACATTTGTAAAAAAAAAAAATTATACAAATATAAAAATATTTTTAATATTAAATAAAATAACGCAAATGATAATTGTGACTATCAGAAGCGAACGTATATAAACATAGTCCAACAATACACAAGTAAAGAATGAAATCTAATCAAAGAATCCCAAAAACTAAAAATATCAAACAATCAATCAAACATTAATTCAAATTTCCATCACATTTCTAACTACCATGATGAACTAATCCTATCAAGAATTGGAGCAAGCCGACCACCGCCGCCGCCGTCGCCGTCGGAACTCCGACCGCGACGACGGCCGCCATTCCGAGCGCCAAGCTCGGCCTCGTCTCGACGAGACACGACTGTAGCCGCGCCACGACATCGAATATCATCGATTCGTACGCGCCGTCGCGGTACATTTCCTTCTCCCAATCCATCCATTCCGGCGGAGCCTCCCGCCCCGGCTCCGCCTCCGCCGCCTTCACTTGCCGGATTCGGTGGCGGAGAACGATCATGTTCTCGTCCACCATCCGGAAGTCGTTGTGGGGTTCTCGTCTCGACGCGTAAATTCTCATTGGATTATACGTCGATGCCGAGCCGCCGCCGCCGCCGGCGGCGGAGGAGTTTTGGGTTCTGGAAAGAGTGGATTTTGTCGGAATTTGAGGAAGAAAGGGAGAGGAGAATAGGGAGGAAGACATATTGTGGATTTTTTAAAATTTTGATTGGAAATGAATAAAGTGTTGTGGGGATTAAGGAAAGGATGTATTATTTATTTATAGGCCGTTGGAGGTTGGGGAGGGAAGGAAGGAAGAAGTCTGGTCACGTGCGCGGGACGTGATCAACGATATGTTGCCTGGAAATTTTCAGCATCTTTATTTTAAATTGTAATATTGTTTTAAAAATATTTGTGTGTTTGTTCGGAGGATTTGTAAAGATTTTAATTATTTATTCAATTGTTTTTCTAAAAGACATAGAATTAAAATATCTATTTTTTATTTTTTATATTGTACTAAAAATTAATTTTACATGCAAATTATCACGTAAATACTTATTTATATCACTTTATACAACTATTTCAATTCAAATTTTTTACTCCCTCCGTCCCTTAACAATCTATCCATTTTTCTATTTTGGTCCGTCCCATAACAAAGTATCCGTGTAAAAAACAAATAGATAGATAGATTGGGGACGGATGAAGTATTATTTAAATTTCAACTTAAAATTCAAACTTCCAAACATAAACACCTTTTTAAATATAGTTGTTGAATAAATTAAAATAATAAATATAGAAAGAAATTGCAAAACAATGCAAGAATAATTGGTGTGTTACTTTTGTCTAATTTCAAATAAAAATCAATATTATTCGGTATGTATCGTATTTATGAAAAAATATTATACTTTTTATTTTAATTCAATATATTATTATTTTTATGTTTATCTATATCATATTCAAAAGTATCTAAAAGTAATCAGTATACAAAATACTTCTAACTTTTCTAAAAATATCTCATTTTCTTTTACATATAAAAACAAAAATGTCAAAATTATATTATAGATTTTCATTAACTAATAAGATACGTTTGTTTCTTAATCTACTAAAAAAAATAAAAAAAATACATTCAATCGAGAAGGAGGAAGTGTTAATTTTTTTTCTCGTATAATATCACATCAAAATAATATCTAAATAAATATTCAAACACCAACCAAAATCAAATAAATCTATTATTTTCTCTACTAAAATCAAATTTAATGGTACTTATGTAAATAATTATAAATTTGAAGATGTTTATAATGTGTTATAAGTCGCACTTATTTAAAAATAAAAAATTAAAAAAAATAAATAAATTGATACTCTTTGTGTTGAGGATAAAAAAAATTATATTGGAACAAGAGATAATAATTTTTTTTTAAAAAAAGTTAATATTTTAGATATGTGTTAGAAGTATTTTAAAATTTTGAATTAGTTTGAGATTTTGAAAACTCTTGAATAAATAATTAAGGGTGTGTTTTTCCACAGTTTTTAAAAAAATATATTTATTTAAAAAATTAATATATTACATGTATTTTTTATTTTTATATTATTTATATAATTTTTTATATTTTACATAAAAAAATATATATATTTCTTCAAACAATTTAAAATATTTCTTAAAACAATTTTAATAAACAAATACACTATAGATATTATATGCACTTTACATAAAATTGATATTTTTATTTAAACGATCAAAATGATATATTTCAATAAGAGATAGTAATATAAATTTAATTTATACTTAGATATCTTCTAAATATTTTTGAAATTTTGAGTTGGATTAAAAATAATTTTTTTTTTAAAAAAAAGAATATTTTTATATGTAATAATTTTTTGCATATTGATATTTGAGTATTAATTATTATATCAAAATGTAGTACAAATTAAGAAAAAATTGCAAAAATACTTTTATTAGTGTCTTATAATACTAATAGAATGATATTTATATAAAAAAATTGAACAAATATAAAAATATTTTTAATATTAGATATAATGACGCAAAAATGTAAATATGACCCTTATAGACGGATGAAAAAAGTAATATTTATAAATTATATAGAAAAATAATATTCTCTCTGGTCTCAAAAGAGATGTCTTATTGGGTGTTGACACGAGAATTTATGAATGATAATATTTAATTGAAAATGGATATAAAGTAGAATGTAAAAACTAAAATACCTTTACTTTTTTAAGGATTTTAAAAAATATGGTAGAGTAATAATTAAGTGTAATTTTAAAAAGTAGGAATAATTTTCTTATAAAAAAACAAAATAATTATTTAGAAACGGACGAAAATGAAAACAAAAAAAGACAAACTTTTTTGGAACGGATGGATTAATAATACTCCCTCCGTCCCATGTAATATGAGTGTATTAATGTAGACACGAGAATTTAGGTAAAGTATAATTAGTAAGTAATTAAGAAGTGTATTAGTAAAAATAATTATTATTTAGTAAAATAATTATAGATTAAGATTAAAATAATTAAATAATTTAATTAAAAATTAAAAATTTTAAAATATAATTAAAGTATATAATTAATTTTTTTTTAAAAAAAATAAATTATATGAGACGAAAAAAATAAAAAATATAAACAAATTATACAGGACGAATGGAGTAATAAAATAAAGGATCAGCTTACAGACAAACACGGTCACCGCGTATTTTTGTTGTCCTTTTCTGACAGGGGGCGGCAGCCTTGAAAGCGCGTTTCACAAAACAATTATTGTATTTAACGCTTCTAGTGCGAATGGTAATGCTGAGAAAACGTAAATCGCTGTCACGTCGTGAAAGCTAAGCTAAGCTACGCGTGTGTTCGTTTGTAAGATATTTGCAAAATCTTACTGTTCATTTAATTTTTTCCCCCAAAAAATATCAAATCAATCACTTATTTTTTATTTTTTATGTTATACTAAAAATCAATTTTACATTCAAAACATCACATCAAACACCTATTTATATCACATCATACAACTATTCAAATTCAAAATTTTTACTATTCAAATCTCAATTCAAAATTCAAAACCCCAAACAAACACAACCTAATAATTGTCCTGCGCTTGCTTAACCGTCTTTCCTTGCTTAATTACGTCATCTTTCTCTAACATTCTTTCTTCAATCATATGCATTATTTTGTTCTTTTAATACAATAAAATAATAATTGAGTAGTATATTATGATCATCCGTACCAAAATTATAGTCTATGTTATATTTGCGACGAAATTTAAAAAATATTGATATTATATTGACAGCAGATAAAAAGTACGTGTAAAAAACTTTTTACCCTTGTGACTTGTGAGTGTATTAGTGTTAAAAATAGCAAAAAATGTATAATAATAATGAAAAAATAAGGATAGTTTTATAGTGATATGATTATTTATGAAAATGTGACTATTGTTTTGGGACGAACAAAAATAGTAAACATGGGAGTAGTATATAAAATATATACTTCATCCATTCCGATACAAGGTTATCGTTTATTTTTTGCACGTATATTTTTTAATATTAGTATTATAATGGATTGCAGTGAAAAAGACGAAAATACTCCTATTAGTATTGTGTAATATAAAATTAACGACATTTACGTAATATAGTGTAAGTTGGAAGGGTATTTATTATGTTAGATAGGTAGTACAATTACTAAATTAGAAAATAATAACTTTATTTTAGGACGAACGAAAATGAAAAATGACAATCTTTCAACAGGACGGAGAGAATATAAAAAGTTCTATTATTTTGTGTTTCATAAGTGTATTTATTTGGATAAGATTATAATATTTAGGGTGAATTTACTTTGTGGGATAAGATTATAATATTTAGAGTGTGTTTAATTAAAGTAAATAATACTTTGTTGGTCTCAAAAATATAGTTTTATTGTGTTGGACACGAGATTTAAGAAATATTGATATTATATTGGTAGCTGGTAAAAAATAAGGATAAATGACTTTTTTGCTGACTTGTGAGTATATATTAGTGTAAAAATAGTGACAATTGTGTAATAATAATAATAAAAAAAATATAAATAATTTTATGGTGATATGGTTATTTATGAAAATGAGACTATTATTTTCAGATGAACAAAAATAGTAAACAAAACTATTATATTGGAACGGAGAGAGTATTATTTTATAAAAAATATAATTATTTATTTATTATTCCTTGTTATAACTAAATAAATTAAATAAACAACTTGATAGATGATGCATAAAAGAAACACACAATAATAATAAAAAAAACAAAAAAATCTAATTTGAATAACGAAGAAATGTATTTCTTCCTTCCTATTTAATTTGTCAATTATTTCTATTTTCGTTCGTCCCACATAATTTATTATTTTTGTTTTTCGAAGTACAATTATACACTTTAATCGCATTTTAAAATTTATAATTTATAATTTTTTTTTATTTTAATTAAACTATTTAGTCATTTTAATCTTAATTTAAAAATATTTTTTATTAAATTATAATTATTTTTATTAATATATTTCTTAATTACTCACTAATTACATTGTACCTAAAATTTCGTATCCTACCTAATTTAAATAGGATAAATTAGCCTGGACGGATGTAGCACAATGTAATAACAAAAAAACAAACAAGACCATTAAAAAAAACTAACTGGTGAAGTATGAAGTTCTTGTGAGATCTATGAGAAATAAATAAATAAATAAATGTGATCAATTTAATCTTCACTCTACCAGACAAATTCATGAAAGAATTATATTGCTACTCTATATTTGTATTAATTTGTTTTTTTTTTTTTTTTTTTTCATACAGTTCAAACTATTGATTTTATTTTATTAAAAGGTCAAACCAAAATTGAATATTTTAAGTCATATATATATTTTATTTTATTTTATTTTATTTCATTTTATTGAAAATTAAATCATTTTATATCATCAGAGAATGATCCCTCACGCATCAATACAGACAAGAAGACCATAACAAAATCAAAATGACCTAAATAGGCCCAATCTGGCCCACATGAAGAAAAGGCCTTCGGCCCAAAATCTCTTTCTGAGTAGAACTGAGGCCCAAAAATGTTTGGGCCAAATAATTAAAACAAAAGGAGTATGGGCCAGCCCAATAAAATCTTTGAGCATTCAACTTTGGTGGGCTGGCCCAATATAAGATCTCTTGTTCCAAAATTCTGCCCATTAGGAAGTATAATTGTGTCCAATCCAAAAGCCTTCCTATGCCATTGCCATCGACACGACTACAAAACCTTTATTTTTAATACCTCATTCGTATCTTAATAATCTATCAATTTTTTTAGTAACTGTACTAATATTAAAAATATTCTTATAATTTATAACATATTACACAAATGTCATTATCTTTATATCACACAATACTAATAAAGTTATTTTAGTCTATTCTATTTTATTCATACTACATTTCAATATAATACTAATATTTCTAAAATTCCATACAAAAAGCAAACGGATAGATATATAATGGACGGATGGACTACATTTTTTTCTCTTACAAAATATCATACTATTTAAATATTATTTTAATATCAAATTCAAACTAATTTTTTTCAAATTCAATCAACTTTTAGCACGATATAATTTTCCATTGTCTATGTGAAAAGTCTCCACTATCTTCCCAACTTTTCACTCTCCATTTCGATTACTTCTCTGACGGAAGAAAGTAATTGAGACATGAATTTTAGAATTTTTGGTCTTCTAAGCATCATTATATAGTGAAAAATGTTTAGAAAAACCAACAAAAAATTGCATTCGAGTTTGACACCAATGGCCAGAGGTATGTTCTCAGGATTCATTTAGTTTCGATTCTTGAGTTCTATTCTGCATTGAATCGATTATTATGCTTACACATGTTTCCATTGTTACCTCGTATAAGACCTCTTGCTCCGAAAATGCCTGAATTTCCTTTCAAGCCTCCATCCGTATTAAGTTTAAACCATGCGCCATGTCACCGGTCCAGTGTTTTCGTTTCTACTTCTAGCTGCTTTGAGGAATCTGCAAATGACATTTGTTAGCATCTTTTAAGTTATAGTTTCGGTTTGTATTTCTCAATTTCGGTTCCAATGGTTTGAACCGCTTGTTATATTTTTACTTTGTGAAAAAATTGATAAATAATGTATTTTTTTGAGAACTAAAAATGTTTCTTTAGGGTAAGTTCGGCAAAATTTAGTTTAGATTTTTATTTGGTTGGAATTTTAGGATATGTTAGAATTTTTATGTTCTTTAGGTTTATAAATTTGGTTTGTGTATGAAATTTTGAAAAATATTGATTTAATAGATAATAAATAGTATAACGACTTATATATTTTTATTTATTTGTATTATAAAAAATATTATTTTCTACAAAACAACATATATCTTGCACATATTTTATATAGATGATTTGACTGTGCACCGTAATATGTGGCCAAACTTTTGGAGAATTAGACCCTTAAATATATTTTTGTTAAATAATTTAAATCTTTTTATATAAAAATGTGCTATATATATCATGGTGAAAATTCATACAAACTAATAAATAAAATAAATCAAAATTTGCCTAAATAAAATTTCAAAATCCGCATGTGTCTACGCATTTTTTAAATTAAAATAAAATACCGACAAACTCCTAATTGAATACAATTTCCTTAGTTTGAATGGGCAATTCCCGGTTTGAAAATGTAGGAATCGAAGCGGAGGCATGTAAAAAAACCGGTTTGGGTTTCGATTCGGTGTCTGAACCGGAACTACCGGTTTGAAAGAATCGGCGGTTCGCTAAGCCGACGTTTTTACTTTTATAAAAAACAATTTATATTATTTCTTTCAGCGAAAACCCTAGCAGAACCCCAATCTACACTCCAGGCCAAGATGTCTTCCAAAAGAGGCGGAGCATCGCCGGCGGCGGACGCCGGAATCCTCTCCCGCGTTTCCTCCTCCTTTTCTCAGTCCCCAATCGTCTACCGTGGCAAGAAAGCGGCTTCCGACACCGCCTTCGTTGCAAAGAAACTCCTCAAGAGCACCGGAAAGGCCGCCTGGATCGCCGGAACCACCTTCCTCATCCTTGTCGTCCCTCTGATTATAGAAATGGACCGCGAGCAGCAGCTCAACGAGCTTGAGATGCAGCAGGCTAGCCTGCTTGGCGGCACCCCTGCCCCCAAGTAATTTTTCCTCTTAATTAAATCCGCCATCGTCGGTCAATTCTAGATTGATTTGAGGAACAGTCTGTTGCCTTTCCCTTTCAATACATTTATATTGTTACGAGTTTGAGCTATTGGTACCCTCTTGGCCGAATTGCTGAAGCGAAACTTTAGTAGAATTCAATTTGAATGTTTTGATTGTTCTAGCGTCGGAAATTTGGTTCTATGTGCTCTCTGATCGTTTTCTTCTCGCGCGATTCTGAAGTAGCGCGGGAAATGTTTCTTTAAATTTCTTTGATGTATTACCCTTCTGAAGATTTGATAATAAAGGTTAATATCTGATCAGCCTGCCATTAGATTGCTACACATTGCTCCCTTTAGCTTTCTCCATGGCTGTTTGATGGTACACAGATTATTGAAATAATGTTTTGGTTTAGTTATGCTAGTTTATATACGAACTATCTTTTGTTTCCCTCTTAATTGTTTGATTTTAGCTTTGAAGGCTCTTCGTGGTGAAAGCCATTTTCATGTGTCGATTATAGCAGATATTTTGAATTGAGGGCTTTATTATAATAGTGATAGTGTAATTGTGGTGTCATTGTTATGCCTTTGGATTCGTTTAGTATTTGCACCTCTCGAACTTGATATGAAATTCAATTTCTATTCTCTTTCTGCTTGAATCTTGATCATCTGTAACCTACTTGTGCCATTTTCACAATGCCATCTACCGCTCTGCTATCATTGTGTGTTTTCATATGTGAAATTATCGCCGATCTTTTGTATTGGGGGCCTTATTATAATAGTGATAGTGTAATTTTGGTGTCATTCTTATGTCTTTAGCTTCATTTAATATTTGCACCTCTTGAACTTGATATGAAATTCGAGTTCCATTCTCTTTGTGCTTGAATCTTGATCATCTGGAACCTGGCCATGCAATTTTCACCACACATCTATTACTTTGATATCATTGTATGTCTTCATATGGAAAATTATCGCAGGTCTTTTGAATTGGGGGCCTTATTATTTATAATAGTGATAGGGGAATTGTGGTGTCAATCTTATGCCTTTAGCTTCATTTAATGTTTGCACCTCTTGAACTTGATATGAAATTTGAGTTCCATTCACTTTGTGCTGAATCTTGATCATCCGTAACCTGCTTATGCAATTTCCATAATACCATCTACTGCTTTGCTATCATTGTATGTTGAGCCTGCACTCACATGTTTGGTTATTGGTTCTTGGTTTGTAAAACTGTTGTTGTTAGTGCTGCATACATAGATGAAGTAATGATGATGATTGATGCTCAATATGATTAGGTTCTTTCTTACTAACTAAAAAGGATTTTGTGTTTTGAATGGATAAATAGTTTGTGCTAAATTGCATAGCATGATTTGTCAGTGGGGCTGTGGATAGATGGCAACTTTAAATGGATGATGATGATTTCTGTTCAATATGATTAGTTTCTTTCTTACTAACTAAAAAATATAATGTGCTTTGAATGGATATGTAGTTTGTGCTAAATTGCATAATAATTTAATGATTAGTTAGTGGCTGTGTAAAAAGTATTTGGTTTAACCATAGCGAGTTCTAATATCTTACCATAATAATATCCAAAAGGTTCTGTTAAGGCCCGGTTTGCATCTTAGTACGTAGTATTGGAAGTGTAAACTCCTGCAACTGGAAGTTTGTTAAATACCTTTACGAATCATAACCTCGTGCGTGCTTAATGTGTACGCTTGTAAGGGTTCGTTTGAGATTGATGCTTGATATGATTAGGTTCTTTACTAACAAAAAAACGATGATGTGTTTTTAGTCGATAGATAGTTTGTGCTAAATTGCATAGTAAGTTTTTTTTATTAGTCTCTGGATGCGTAAAAAGCATTAGACTATTAGATTATACCCACAGAGAGTTTGAAAATCTTAGCATAACCACTATCAAAAGCTTGTGTTAAGACACACTTTATATCTTACTATGTGATCGAACTTATTTCTTCAGCACTATGTAGTGTGGTTCGTCGGAAGATTATACTCGTTTGCTCGTAAGTTTAATTTTTACCTTTGGGAATCTCATCCGTAATGTGTGTGCTTGAAAGGGTTCTCTTGAGATTTTGGTGTTTCGCGAACATGTCTGTTTTTTTTTTTATTGAAAAGGAGCTTAATAGGCATGTCTGAAGTAAACATTGGATGTTCATTCGTTCCTTCTCGGTTATCTACTTACATAATTCCGATTTTTATGTAAGATTTTGAGTTTTTCGCCTTTTCAACCTCAACAAGTTGCTACATTGTAGCATATATACTCGGGTCACCCTATCATTAAGTTAGGTGTGTTTGTTACTCCTGAAGGACTTGGGTTGCGGAGATACATTCTTTATTAGGGGTGTCCATTCGTGTTTTTGGGCTCTTCTTGATTAGGGGTGTGGCATTTTATATAGTCGTATTCGTGTTGTGTTAAGCTATTGTTATTTCAAAAAAAATTGCCAACTCGAACACAATCGGAATCCAATTTTCAATATGATATTTAAACCCGAATATGACATGAATTATTTTGTGTCTCATTCACGTCAATTTGGTTTTATTTCGGGTCACCTCGTAACACAAGCGAACCCCATCAACCCAAATATGAAATAGATCCGAAAGTACGAAAAAAAAAAAAAAATTGTTTGTAATAAATAATTTTATTATCTTATTTTAACAAATAATAATTAAATTTAATACTATTTTTCTACTCATTATATTACTTTGTATCAATTCTTTAATAAATTTTACTATATAATACTACATTCAATTTACTTTTAACTCAGCTGTATTTTTATATAAAAAATATATTATTATTTCTTAGTCTTTTATATCCAAACAAAATAACATAATTAACCCGGCGTTATAAATTAAAAAATATATATATATATATCACCAAGAAAAAGATGGAGATGAAAAAGAATATGACAATAGACAAGGAAATGGATACCATAAGTTTTAGTTCATATTTCTTTATTACAAAATTTAAATAACAATCTAATATTATATAAAAATTTTAATATTTTTATTAATATAATTTAATTTGAAATTAAGTAAAATTAATACTTATTATTATAAAATTAGATCGGGATCGGATCAATCATCTGATTTTTATATTTTAAGTTATTAAGTCAACTAAATATCCGAGATAATCCAATCCAATCTAATTTATTTTATTTTATTTTTTTCATTTCGAGAGTGCGGATCAATTTCTTAAAAAGCCAAAATATGCAAACTCAAGCCCGGAATTTTTTAGATAATCCAAAATACCAAACTCAAGCATAGAAATTTTCAAATTAAACAGATTCGTATCTTGAAAGCAGGTGTGTTCAATTTCAATACCCTTACTCATTAAGCAAATTTAGTATGAGAAGCAAGTGTTGATGAAGAAACTACGAGGGTTTTTGTTTGGTGAGATTGTTGAAAAAAAAATAAGAAAAAAGCCTATTTGTTTAAAGAGTCAAATATACACTTTTATATATAAATATTTTAAATTTTTTATTATTAATAATTTTTATAAAAATCACCGTTAAACACAGTTTTTAACATTAACTTTTAGTGTTTTTATTTTTATTTTTATTTTTAATTTCAATATTTTTGTTAAATAAAAATATTTCTATTTATTTATTTTGACACATGGACAAACTTTTTTCAACTATACTCTCTTGTCAAAATACTAGCAAAAGATTTTTTCTTGTTACAGACTGGTACATAGACAACAACTACATATTATAGACATATGTATGATTAAAGTGAGTCAAAATGTTGGCAAATTTACGGAGAAATATCCCATACCATTTTGGTACAATGAGTGAGTCTGCTTAACTAGCTTGATACAACATTGTGTATTACAATACACATTTGAGAGAGTGATTTTAGAGAGATAATTATTCGAGCTCTCAACTTTGTGACACTCATTCTTCATGTTATGAATTTGTTTCTATCATTCAAACTCGCGGGAGGAGTTATCGGAGAAAAGGATTTATGGGGATTCAATTGAAGTTGGCAACAAGCTCTTGAATTGCATTACTTTCGGCTAGTGGAAGACTGTTGATGTTGTTAAGATCTAATAACGACCAGCTATATGTACAGTGTTTGGTTTTAAATGCTATAATCAATATAGATTGTAGTGAATTTAGTCTTAGATTGATATCAGTGAACTTATTCTTAGATTGATATCCTCAAAATGTAAGTTGATTATAGTCGAATTTGGTCAATAAATTATTGTATAATTTATTGCTTTGGTGCGTTGACACTGTATTGCCATTACTACGAGTTTATCACGATATAACTGTCTTATTTTTTCAAATTTGGTTCATTACATTGTTGTCATTTGTTGTCATTTGACTCGGGAAATTAGCCACTCGAATAATTTTTCTACAATTTTTCTTTTAAAAAAATGTTATATTTATATGTAAATTATTATTCTCACAATCTATTTAGTCACAAGCGGGGTTACTATCAAATCCTTGGGTTTGTTTGCCAAATAATTTTTTTTAGGTAAACTATTTTATTAATCTCATAATTGGACCTCCTCAAACTAGTCCATAAGTGAAATTTTTTTGCTGTTTTAGTTCTTCGGCGCCGGAGACGCTCCCGTGGCTCGCCGGAGGCTACGTGTCCGCCAAGTTAGCGACACCCGGAAAACACGTAGATTTTATTATTATTTTTTTTCATTTTTTAAATAAATTTTATTTGTTTTTTTAATTTTTTTTTATTTGCTCCAATTGAAAAAAAAATTAAAAAAAATGTGTCCACCGGGTGTCGCTGACCTGGCGGGACACCGGGCGGACACGTGGCTTCCGACGAGCCACACAGGCGTCTCCGGCGCTAGAGAACTAAAACCACAAAAATTTCACTTATAAGACTAGTTTGCGACATATTCCACTTACAAGACTAAAATGATAAGGAGGTCTAGTTACGGGACTAAAAAAACAATTTATTTATTTATTTATTTTTTTTACTTGATTCTCAAAATATGTATAATAAATATTCTATGATTTCGTAAGAAGTTAATATTTAATATAAAATATTATTATTCTTAATTATCAATATGATTATCTATAACTCAAAAAAAAAAAATACCTCCAACCATAATATTAAACAAACAAACCTCTTGTTTAGAAAAATAAATTTAAAAATTCAACATTATTTATGACTTAAAAAAATTACATTATTGAAATCACTTTTTTTTTTTTAATAGTCGCGGATCACCACCCATCAGCCGGTGTTGATTCAATCTTAGTTGTACATCAAATTTTCATAGAGTAATTTTTACAACACCTTCATCTTGATCAACAAAGAATCTCTCTTGCAAACAAAGCTCGAACTAAATTCAAACAATGAAAAAGTTGCAAAAATCTTTAATAGCCTAAATGCCGTGGATGGATGGACAAAAGATTTTATGTTCTTTGAGCGATTGTTTGGGTATTTTAGAACTGCTTGCAAAAATTCTTTTTTCGGACCCACGATGGAATGCTGAATATTCAGTCGAGACACCTCTACATGTGAGATAACCGGGTATCCACAATTTTGTAGAATCTTTTCAATGTTTTACATGACAAATTAGCCTCTTGAGTTGAGTGAAAGTATATATAAACAATTTGACAAACATGAAATTTTTTTTATGAGTACAAGAAAACGTGTTGACGGACAGAGAAAAAATGAATTGTAATAGATTATTGAATGTAAATTGAATGTGAAATTTATATATATTTTCCTATTTGTACATTCAACAATTATTATCCTATTGTGTGTATATATATATACAAATTTTACTACAAAGAGTAAATTTGTTAATTTATAATTAAAAAATAATTAAAAAATATGTAAATATAATGATACAGAAAGTACGAAATTTATTGCGAATAGAATCGAAGTCAATAATGAATTGAATTATGTAAAATTATATTTAGATATTCTGTTACACTAATTATAACAAGTGAATATAATATCTTAGTATTGTAAATTATTAATTAAATATTTTATTTCATATATGTACATTTTAATTATAAAAGGTTAATATGCTAATGATAATAATAATAATATATTGTTGTTGATAAAAATAAATAATAACGGTATACACTATTATTGATATTTTGATATTTAAATATAAATATTTTTATTATAATTAAAATAAATATTTTTGAATAAAAAAGATGAATATAATTAAAAAGAAATTATAAATTGAATGGGAGGAATGATAGAAGTATTATTTTATACACTCAGCTCCCCCGACACTACTTTTATTGGATTTTCTAACCCAAAGGACGAACTCGATCAAATCGCCAAACTCTTCGTCTCTGCAGTGGACACCAATTTCTGTACCGTTTTTTATGGCGTTTCTGTTTAAAAAGTTTCAAGAGGTAATTCAATCTCTCTCTTGCTTGCTTACTATGAAAATAGGCTGTTGATTCCAAAGTTCTATCTGCCAGTATTCATTCAAGATTAGCGCCGCCATATATCTTTGGACTATATTTTCAATCAATGTTCGCGTATTTGCAATTTATTTGGACTATGTTGTGCATTTTAGGCGGTCCAAGTGCTTGCGAAAAGTCGTACATTTGCCAAGGATGGAAGGCACCTTCAGTTTGAAGCCGATATGAATCGTCTATTTCTTTTCACGAGGTAATTGCCATCGGTGTTTCGACGGGACATTTTAAGCCGTAGTTTGTTCTGCAATTTAGGTTGTGGAATTCCGTGATAATTTAGGTTTAAATTTCATTCCATGCTTGTGTATGAAGCTCTCTTGATTTGCTATCGATGGTTAGTAGGACTTTCTATCCGACGAAATTTGCCTAGTTTAGGGCTTCAAATCACTATTTTTCTAATTTTTGTATATATATATATTTTTTTGTCAATTATTCTATTTTCCAATCCTTAGTGTTTGTTTAGGCTTTGGATTTTGGATTTTGGGTTGGAGTTTTGAATACTTAAAAATTTGAATACAAATTTGATTCGATGCTTTTGGAGAAAAAAAAAGTTGTGAGTAGTTAAAGTTCTTTAGAAACCTTCAAACAAACACATGTATTAATATCGTTTTGTAAGTAGTTTTGGTTGAATAAAAAAAGACTTCGATCTTGATAGGAAATTACTCTCTTGTTCGACTATCTAGATTCGTGCATTAGGGTGGTGGCCAGGAATTTAAAGGACATAATTTGAATGAAAATGTGTCATTCATAAGCTGGTGTGGCCCTTATCCCCAGCGATCACAATGCTGTTTTCATGTTTATATTCCGAAAACATGCAATAAACAAAAGCTCAGTCTTAGACTCAAATATTTACATTACAATTCTTGAGTTTGTCTTGGATTATTCCAAGGTTAATTTTGTGTTGACTCAGAATAGAGGTGAATTATAACTTTTGGAAAGTGTTTATTGCTCGATCATTTAATTATCTGCTTTGTTCGTTTCGATCCTTTATACCTGTATTCCAAAATTCCCCACAATCTGTAACTGTGTCCCTACATAATATTGAAAGTTTGGAATTACTCTAGGTAAAAAATCTTGATGTGTGTACACTATGGTTCATTAATTAACAAAAACCATTGCTACTACTGTTATTGTTGTTGTTTATTTGCCTCGAGTATGTCTTTCCTAAGTTCACATTATCAGAATTGTAATATAATGCTTCATTGCTTGAATATAGATTCAGGTATGGATTTGTTAGATTTGAGAAATAAGTGAAATACACTTTGTGCCTTTCCTAGGTCCTTTACTTGTTTTCATTCTTTCGTTTGCCTTTTGATTCTCATCGCAGTATTGAGGTTCATTCCCTAAAACGCGCTCTGATTTCAGCTACTACCGTCTGGGAAAGAATGCTGATGAAGCAGATGCAGAGGAGATTATCGACATGGCTACTAAGGCCACTTTGGCGGAGCAGCAGAAGCAAGTTCAAGATAATATTCACGAACAAATAAATAACTTCTGTAAGCGTATGGATAGCATTCTTCTCCCAAATACAAAGACAGTTGATAGTGTCAACTCTTCTTCCGGGAAAATCAATGCTCCTCGGCATAGTGGTCTTGGTCTTGCTGTCGGAGGTCCTACTCATTTGCGCAATAGCCCTGGTCAGTAATAATTTTGATCAAGTGGTGCCTAATCAATATGCAAAATTGCGAACATTTATTAGAAGTATGCTGGAGATTCATGTTGTCTTATTTGATGGACACAATTCTTTGATGGGATTTTTATGAATCGATCTTATCTATGGTTTGATCTAGATTGTGTTCTAATTAGCATATACGTTCAGGCATATCTGTGGTGGAGACAAAGCCAGTGAAGCATTCGGAGGTGTCGCAGAAGCTGAAGGATCTCATTGGATACACTCTTGAAATTAAGCCATCTCAAATTCAGCACGAGGATGCTGGGAAAGGTTTATACTTGGATGGTGAAGCTAATGTTGGTGCTGTAATAGCCATATACCCTGGGGTGACATACTCTCCTGCATACTATCAATATATTCCTGGATATCCGAGAGTTGATTTGCAGAACCCTTACCTGATCACAAGATATGATGGAACCATAATAAATGCCAAGCCTTGGGGTTATGGAGGTGAGGCTCGTGAAATGTGGGACGGCTCAGGTGTTCGAGAATCTAGATTGAACAGTGAAGGCGAGCAAATCGGTTCAGATCGATTATGGAAGATGCTCAGCAAACCATTAGATGATAAACAAGTGAGGCGCCGTGGGGAACTCCTGGAATTGAGAAATCCGCTAGCTTTTGCTCATTTTGCAAACCATCCCGGGATAGATATGGCGCCAAATGTAATGGTTTGCTCCTATGATTTTCCTCTAACTGAGAAGGATATGCGAAGCTATATCCCGAATATCTCGTTTGGAAGTGAAGAAGTCGGGATGAAGAAATTCGGAAGCTTTTGGTTCAAGTCTTGGAGGTCTAGCAATGCAGCCATGGATGTTCCTCATCTCAAGAGCCTCGTTCTTGTGGCTACCAGGAATATCTGTAATGAAGAAGTTTTATTGAACTACAGATTGAGCAACCTGAAGCGCCGGCCCTCGTGGTATATTCCAGTCGACGAGGAAGAAGATAGAAGAAGATGGAGCTGAGCTAATTTAGCATCAATGGTCTATATCTAAATCCCTCATTTGGACATTTTGTTGTCGATTTTGACAATGGGAGCAGTAGTTTCTTCTCTCATTCTGAAATTTCCAAGAGTTTTTATGGTGGCTCCAAAGCAAGTCATTCTGAAGATGCCAACTGAATTCGAAGGCTAGTGTTGAATTATGATACATTTTCATTGAACTTTTGAAAATTCCATGGATGCCAGTTTGGGAAATGGATTTCTGTTGGTGGCTTCTTCTGCTAATTTCCTGATCTAGAAAAAATAGAAATATTATTCTTGTGCAGAACTGAAGAAGGCAGACATAATTGCACGTTTGTTCCTTACCCAAAGATGAAGGTACAAAACAGTTTCATATGATTGATTGAAAATATTGTTTTTTTTGGCTCATGTATGCAGAGAGGACTCGAAGACTATTATTAGGGTTAAGAAAGTTGAGCTGCAGCAGACTGGGACTGCCCATGCAGAAAAAGCATGCAACTGGTTCTCCCCATTGGTGTCTGCATCCAGTATACTTTCCCTATACTAGGCAGGAAAAAACAAATCGAATCGAACCGTCGAACTGTTAAATTGAATCGAATTTTTGGGTAATCGAGAAAATTCGATTCGAATACAAATACGTGCATATTTGATATTTGTTCGATTCAATTCGGTTTCGATTTTTGATATATTTTTTTTTTCATTTGATTAACCGAATCGAATATATTTATACGTTTATGTTATTATATTTTAAATTTTATATTAGTAATTATATTCGATTTAGTTTCGGTTCGGATATTTGAAATATTTGCAAATATTTTTATTTAATTAGTATTTAAATTATCTTTTAATGTATATGTATATTTTTTAATTTCGGTTCGGTTCGAATAATTTGCAAATATTGAAAATATTTTCGGGTAGAATACGGTTCACAATTTCGAATATTTGTTCGATTCGACTCGAATATTAAATATTTTTATATTTACAAACACCCGAACGGTGCCTACTTTAGGGATGACATACCGTATCATATCGAAAATATCATATCGATACCGTACCGAATTTTTCGGTATGACGAAAATATATATCGGTACTGTACTGAAAGTTTCAATATACTGAATTTCGGTATACCTAAATTTTCGGTACGGTACCGGTATATACTGTTTATACTGAAAATTTTAATTTCGGTACAATACCGGTATATACCGCTTATACAAAAAAAATTGAGTTCGGTAGATACTGGTATATACCGATTATACCGAAAATTTTGATTTCGGTAGATACTTGTATATACCGATTATACCGAAGATATAATTTTAAATTTCAAAATAATTTAAAAAATTAATAAATATCATTATTCTCCACCACAAAAATATTATGAAAAATCAATAAATTTTCTATAGTTTACATATTTTTTTTGTTATGATTTAAAAATATATTAATAATTATTATTTATATTAATAATTAAATTTTCTAATAAAATTAATATTAGTACGGTATCGTATCGAAATATCGAATTTTTCGAAAATTCATACCGATATTGTACCGAAATTTTTGATATTTTCGATACAATATGGTATGATAAGTCGGTATTTCGATATTTACGGTGAATTTATCTGTCCTGACCCACTTTACCAATCCCATCCCTATCCCTGTAGAGCTAATAAATTTCAAGAGAATCCATAGCCAGTACCAATTTGTGTGCAGCCCTTTTTCTGTTATTATATGGTTGATATGAATTCAATATTATTACCAATGCCTCATTTTGCAGGTGAAGGGTAAAAAAAAAGTTGAAAAAATTAGGGTTCTGCAAGGTGGTGCTGTAGCCATGGCAGCACAGCAGTAGCTATGTGTCCCAAATGATTGATTGATGGACAGTGCAACAATGGGGGCAGTAATAAAATGGCAGCTAGACCAAGACCTGTCTGTTGCTGTTCTGATTCTGCAACAAATCAATTCTGTACTGATTTCATCAGGGCACTAACACACACTTGTATGTCTCTACTGTCCCATTTTCTTTCTGATTTTGGTTATGTATATATGTGACATTTTTGGGACCAGTTTGGTTCTTACATTCGATGATGGCTAAAGATGAAGACTTTAAGCTCCTCAGAATCAAGGTACTGTTGTTTCCTTGCACAGCCCTCTACTTGTGTCCATGGTGTTTAGTTTTTGATTTTCTTGTTTTCTGCAGAAATATGTTCTGAGAGTGAACATACATTGTGATGGGTGCACTCATAAAGTGAAGAAACTTCTTCAGAGAATCGAAGGTACCCCCACCCCCCCCCCCCCCCTTTCATTATTTCTTGTAATTAAAAATTAAATTTGTAAAAATTCACAAAAACACTCTATCTTTTATTTATTGGGTGACATTCTTTGTGATAACTTAAAATTTGCACAAATTTGGTCTGTATTTTTTTTTATATATCCAATCAAATATTATTTTCATATTAAATTCAAACTAATTTTTTGTCAAATTCATCTAAAGAAACACACTATAAACAAAGACTTGAAGAACATAGACTTTACATGAGTTTTATACAAATAAAAGACAAATAAAATACGTAAAATATCTTAAATATTTTTTTTTACGAAATAAATAAATAACTGATCAATTATTTATTTTTATAATTTTTATAAAAATGGGACAATAATTTATCTTGAAAAACTATAAAATAAAATATTAATTAATATATATTTCTTTTATTCAAAAAAAAAATAATTATGATATTTTTATGTCTTTTGTTTATATAAAACTTAAATTATTGACTTCATATATTTTCTCCTTTTCATAACAAAATATTCAATTTTTTTATTTTAGTTCGTCCCATAATAAAATATCTATTTCTTTTTAGTATCTGTACTGTCTATCTAACATTACAAATACCTTTACAACTTACAATATATTACATAAATACCAGTACATTTATATCACATATAATACTAATATTTCTAAAACTACTTAAAAAAAATTAATGGATATTTACTTATGGGATAGAGGGAATATTTAATATCATCAAATATTAATTGTGGACGAAAAAGATGTCTTTGTGCAAGTTTTAAGTTGATACAGATTTTATGTATTAAATAAAACACGAAGTGCTTTATCATGTTTTTACTAGGGTGTGTTTGTTTGAAGGATTTTGGTGGATTTCCACTATTTATTCAATTTTTTCCCCCCAAAAATATCAAATCAAACACCTATTTTTCATTTTTTATATTATACTAAAAATCAATTTTACATTCAAAACATCACATCAAACCCTATTTATATCACATCATACAACTATTCAAATTCAAAATTTTTACTATTCCAATCCCAATTCAAAATCCAAACCCCCAAACAAACATGGGATGTTATATATCTTCTTCTTTTTTTTTTTTTTTTTTTTTTTTTTTTTTTTTTTTTCTGTAATTTGAACTCTAATGATGATAGGAGTGTTCCGAGTAAACATAGATTTGGAGCAGAAAAAGGTTGCTGTTTTAGCAAGTGTCGATTCTGAAACATTGATCGAGAGATTGATGAAGAATGGTAAGCACGCAGAGCTCTGGTCTGAAGAACCCAACCTCAAACAGAATCGAAAAGCCACTGGAAAGAACAAAAAGGGTTCGATCAAGTCCATCAATGGCGAGCAAAAATCAAGTTTAATTCCCGAGGAAGAAATCCAAGAATTGAATGGCGAGTGTGGTGACGAAGGGGAGGATATGCAGTTCATTAGGGATATGATTAATCAAATGGCTGTGATGGATCAAAGTGGAGACGAAGTGGCGTCCGCCATTAACGGGGGCAATAGCAGCAAGAACAGGAAGGACAAGAAGAAGAAGATGATGAGCAATGGCGGACAGAAAAAAGGGAATTTGAAGAAAGATGTTGATGATCTAATGGTGAATTGTGATGGAGAAAGATCATCAGACCTGAGTAGCATGATGAATCTTGCTGGTTTTAATGGGAATGGATTGAGCATACCTGATATGAACAATGTTCTTCTTCTTCATCACCATCACCATCATCAGCAGCAGCAGGGCTTCGATTCTGCGGCCCGACCCGTTAATCCTCCCGGGTACGGGTACGGGTATGGGTCTGCTCCTTATCGTCAAGTAGCTGGTGGTGGTAACTGATCATTTGTGTAACTATTTTAGGTCTAGAAAATTTTTGATATGCCATTGATTATCGTTTAGCGACGATTGGACTATCAATGTGGCATTGATTATCATTTAGCCAAGATTGGGCTATCAATATGACATTAATTATCGCTTAGCTAGGATTGGACTATTGATATGACATTAATTATTGTTTAGCCGAAATTGGGCTATTAATGTGGTATTGATTATCGTTTAGCCGGGATTGAACTATCGATACGGCATTGATTATCGTTTAGCTGATTTTGGACTATCATTGTAACGTTGATTATATGTTATAGCTGAGATTGAACTATGATTTTGAGATTGTTTATGTTATATATATATATATATATATGTGAATTGCTATGAATTAAGATGAGATGTATGGCTGAGAGTATTTCCCTGACTTTTGGGTTACGATTTGTTGCGCCTTTAGTTTACGTATTTATTTTCATACTCAACTAATGTTGCTGATGATATTATATTTTTTTTCTTACAGACTTCGTAACTGGATCCTCGGGTCAATGGTTGTCATAGCATTTGGGGAAAGTGTCTTTATGCATAACAACATACATGTTTTTGGCACTGTTTTGTAATATGTCCGTTTTACTGATTTGAAAAGTACTATGGACGCTGGTAATATATTTCTATGTTTTGAACTAAATGTTATTTGTGAAAAAAAAGAAAAAAAAAAGATGATTTGTGAAGTCTTAGTATTATAACATGGCTTGTTGGTATATGTTATTGATATATTTTTGGCATGTGACATACGCTAATTTTGGAGTGTAACACAAATAAGGTGAAAGAGAAAATAAAAATAGTGAACAAGTAAGGTGAGACGGATAGAGTATCATATTTGGGGACGAATGAGTTGGTATTCTCTATTTTTTTCTTTTTTAAAAAAAATTAGTTTTATGTGGGTCCACCCCAATATATATTATTATTATCAAATTTAATATAAATATTCATTATGTCTCAATTCAATTCAATGTGATCTCTTGGATTTTGTAGTAGATTGAAGAATAATAATAATATTTTATTTATTAGTGAAAATATGTAAGAATTTTTTGACATTTTTGTCCTTTGACTTTATAAATAAAATAATTGTATGTTTTTAATTTAAATAAAAGTTAAGAGTGTTTTTGTATTAATGTATAATTTTTTTTTTAAAATAAAAAATGAATACTTTGAAGTGAGATAGACAAAAATGATAAAAATATACTTTGAACAGGGACGAATGAACTATATATTTGTGTAATGGTTGGATAATTGCAAAATATATCACACACGTATACCCCCATTATCACTTTTGTCCTATATTTATCTCGCTGCAAAATATATCTCACATGTTTGCGAAAGTTGCTATTTTTATCCTTTGGCCACGCGTGGCTGCGCGTGATTGCGGCGTGTGGTGTGAATGTCACGTGCGGACAAATGACATAAATAGCGGCTTTTGTAAATATGTGGGATATATTTTGCCAGTGAAATAAATACAGGACAAAAGTGATAATGGAGTATATGTGTGGAATATTTTTTGCAATTTTATCTGTAATGTTTAAAAAAATTGAAAATTTAATTCAATATATTGAATGAGAGATGAGTCCTCTGAATAAACATATATATATAATTGGGTAAATTATATAATATCCCTTGTGTTTTAGTAAAATAGACAAACATCCTGTATTTTATTTATTGCATGAAACCCTTTGTGTTAATGCAGAGTTTGCATGAAATATCCTTCTTGTCCGAAACTGTTTGGTTCTAAATAAATACCTAAATTACGCAAGATTTATACAAATAAAAAGCGTAAAATATCTTAAATAAATTTTTTGAATAAAATAAATGAATAAATAATTGATCAAATCATTTATTTTTATATTTTTTTTATAAAAACTAGATAACAATTTATCTCTAAAAACTATAAAATGAAGAATTATCAATTATTTATTTACTTTATTAAAAAAAATTATTTAACATATTTTACATTTTTTATTTGTATAAAACTTACATAATTTAAGTCTTTATTTAGAACCAAATATCAGTTTTGGACAATGAGAGCATTTCATGCAAACTTTACATTAGCATAGAGGAATTTCACGCAATAATTAAAACACATGATTTTTTGTGCATTTTTACTAAAACACAAGGAGGCCTTATATAATTTACCCTATATAATTTAATATTGAAGAAAAAATATTATTGTATTTTAATTTATGAATAATTTGTAGTATAGTGAGACTGTAATCTATCATATGTATATATTTTTTCAAAATTAAAATTGTGAAAATATTAAAAATTTGAATAAAATAATAAAAATTATGAAGAGTCAATCAACCTAAATTTTAAAAATTATATTACACAATTACACATACTGTACATATTATAAAATTGGTTAATCCAATCAAAATCATGTTATGTACTTACCATGCATTATACTAGCTCCGTCCATTTGTGACGTATACAAATATTTAGATAGTATATATTAGTAAATTATTAATAATAATTTATAATATTATATTTTTATTTTTTTATATAATATTGTTGTTCATATTTTTAAAAAAAATGAATTAATATATATTATTAAAAAAAATTAGATTGTATTTAAATATTTATAGTATTATATCTTAATAAAAGATATAAAATATGAATATCAATTATAAAATAATAGAATTTTATATAATACAAATAAAAAATATTTATTTATTTATTTATAATTACAATAAACTAGTTTTATAAAAAAAAAAAAAGTAAGAGTTTTATTTATATAATAATATTTGTTTATATGAGAGAAATATAAATAAAAAATTTTTGAGTAAGTCAATGTGTAAAATCTTAAAAAGTTAATTAAATTAATATATATTTGTTAAGTATGTTTAAGATAAATATATTTAATAAAAATATAAATGGATCATTTGTATTGGGATGAACTAAAAAAAAAAATGAATTATTTGTCCTTAAAAGAGGTAGTATAAAATTTCCGGAAAAAATAATGGTCACCAAGAAATGAAAAGCAAATTATTACTCATATTTAAAAATAAAAAAAAAAAAAAACACTACAAGAAAAAATTATTTTTGTAACAAAATTTTTGTCTTTAAATCTACTTTTTCCATTACTAATGACATCATAGACGAAATTAGGAATGAAATTACGTTAGCTACGTGAACTTTAGGGACGGAATTCTGTTACAAATATATTATTATTATTATTATTATTTTTTTTTTGTAGCGGAAGAAGAAGAAGAAGAAGAAAAAATAGTAAAGCATTTGTAGAATATAAAATAATACTTCCTACATATAGAAAATTTACACTATAATTTTGATTGAACAAGGAGATTAAAAAATAATTATACTATAATATTGAAATGGACTATATGAAAATAAAGTAGGGTGTTACAAAAATTTTATTAATAAATATAGAAATAGAGACAAAATTATTAATATTTTTTAAAGTAGAAATAATAAAATAATGGGTGTGTTCATTTTGTGTTTTTATTTTTAATTTATTTTTTTATGTTAGGTATAATAAATTGCGCAAATAATTTTAAAATAATATTTTTTATTGAATTATTTACTTTTGACTTGATTAAATGTATATGTTATATATATTGTATTAATATGTATATAATGTATTTTTTAATACTCCTTTCGTTCTGTCAGAGATGAGTCATTTTGTTATGGACACCGTATTTAGATAGTTTAGATTAGTAAATTATTAATAATAAGTTATAATATTATTTTATTATTTTTTATGAATAGTGTTGTTGGTATTTTTAATATTTTTATGATTATATCTCAATAAAATATATGCGATATGGATATCATTTTATAAATAATAAAATTTTATATAATAAAATTAAATAAATATATATATTTATTTATAATTAACTTAAAATTAATTTTATAGAAAAATAAAAAGTTTTAAATATAGATAAAAGTATTTGTATATTAAGGAGAGAGATAAAAATAAAAAAAAAGGTTTAAGTAAGCCTTACCTGAAAGAAAAATTTAATTAAATTAATTTATATTTATTAAATAAGTTTAGAATAAATTTACTAAAAATAAAAATTGTCATTTTTATAGGACCAACAAAAACGAATAAGAGGTCATCGCAGAACAAAGTGAACAAACCCAATATTTACTATAAATAAAATGTTTATATGTTCAACTGGAAAAAAAAAAAAAAAAAAGACACCGACATAATTTTCACAGACGGATAAAATAATAATGTTTCTTTTATATAAAAAAAAAAAAAACAATAATTTTATGTGCGTGTTAAAAAAAAAAATTTATAGTGATTTTATTGGATTAGTATAACTTTATGATATTTCACACTGCATGCTAATTTATTAGAGATGTGTTTAATTTATATGTCAAACACAAATTAATGCTATTCAACACATATAGAGAAAACTATATTATTTTTTCTTATAAAATATTACATTAAAAGATAATTTAAATTAAAATAAAATTTAAAAAAAAATATACTCCTTCAATTCCTTAATAATTTATCCATTTTTTTTGGTTCGTCCCATAACAAAGTATTCATTTCTTTTTTTTTAAGTAATGGTACTATCTACCTAACATTACAAATACCTTTCCAATTTACAATATATTACACAAATGTCATTAATTTAGACTTTTTACCTTTATTTCTACTTTATCTCAATATAATACTAATATTTCTAAAACTCCGTGCAAACGCAAATAGATATATAAATATGGGACGGAAGGAGTATATATTTTTCCAATAAAAAACTAATAAACCAAAATCAAATTTAAAAAAGAAAAAAATTATTTTCAATCAAAATTAAACAAACCCTATTCTTAAAGGAAATAAAAGTAAATAATTGGGTGTGGTTGTTTGGAGTTTTGGATTTTGAGTTGGGATTTGAATAGTAAAAATTTTGAATTTAAATAGTTGTATGATGTGATATAAATAGGTGTTGATGTGATGTTTTGAATGTAATATTGATTTTTAGTATAATATAAAAAATGAAAAATAGGTGTTTGATTTGATGTTTGGGGGGGAATTGAATGAACAGTGGAAAAAAAATTCAATCCCTCAAACAAACACACCCTAAGATTAATTCTTTGATTTATTTTTTCAAATATAGTACATCAGGGCAAACTATTTTATCGATAAAATCTTAAAATGTAAAATCTCATTAAAATTGTGATTAATATAATTACTAAAAAGGTATGTCATTATTTACTTAAGATTAAAATCACGATTATTGTTGTTACTAAAAAAAATATAATTAATTACTTACGCACAAAATGAACCGACACCGCCTATATAAAGGTCGATGTTTCAATCATTCATACATCCACTAATACAATAATATATTTTTTTTTATGTTCATTACTTCGATTTTATTTTTCAAACAATGGATGCTGATAAGTTCTCGGCTACATTGTCATGCAATAGCAACTATGCCAAATGGTTCGATAATTGGTGAGTTATTTCAAATATCATGTATATTGTATAAATTTTTTTTTTCATTTATTAATTGTTTTTTATGCTATATATTTTCTCTCTTTTTTTTGTTTTTTTTTTAATAAATCTCAATTTTTTTGTAAAATAATGAGATTTTAGATTTTTATATCTCTACGAATATAAAAACTTCAAATTTTGTTTAAATTACTTAAAGAGTCATCGAAATTATCAAAATTTTGTGATCATAAGCCGTATTTTGTTAATTTCCGCACTAAATTAATTTTCGTTACTAATTAATAACTTGAAATCTAATTTAATTTTATTGTGATTGCAAATATTGTCCTTTTTTTTTTTTTTTTGTAAGAACATAATTTACAAAATCATTCCAAATATTAAAATTGTAAAAATTCACTTAATCAAATTTATTGTTAATATACTTTTTATAACTATAAATATATGTTCACCAAAACTCAATTACATCATCAAATTATATAAGTTTTGAATTTTTCTTACAACAATCCTCGTTTATTCATATTTTAAATTTTACTAGTTTTATTTTTTTTAATATTAAATGGCAGCCAGACGAACAAGAGGTCGTCAAATGATTCCCATCCAACAAATCGAGAACCAAAGCGATAGGTACGCTTCATTCTCGAAGCGTCGTCTGGGCCTTTACAATAAGGCGAGCGAGCTCAGCACCCTATGTGGTGCTGATATGGGGATAATGATCTTTTCCCCGACAGGACATCCATACTCATTCTTCAGCCCGAGTATAGATGTCCTAATGAGGAGATACAGATATCCCAACCAGCAGCCTGATCATATGACGCGGTACATTGAGAATCATCTCCGGAACCAAGTCCAGCAGCAGAATCAACAGCTGGACGAGGTTTTAGAGATGAAAGATGAAATAATAATAAGAGATAAAGAACTCAATGAGATCAAACAAACTCGAATAAAGGGATGGTGGGAACAGGTACCTGTTGAGAGCCTCAACCCAAGAGAGATCCTAGAGTGGATCGCCTGGTTCGAGACCCTTCAAGCCCGAGCCCACCGGATGATAGGGGAGATAAGGAACGGCGCCGGGACTAGTGGCGGTGCCGCTGTTGCAATTCAAGAACAACAAGTAATTTTGCAACAGCATACCATTCCGAATCTTCCCGCAAATCATGTCATTCCGACAACCTATAATCTGCGGGCAGGGCCATCGCTGTCTTCAAACCACTATAATGTCGTTCCACAGCCTTCGTCATCCATAACTCAACCTCAGCAAGAATCGATCATGGGAGATCAAAACACGGGCGGCGTTTCTAGTCCGTTTTATCATTTTTCAGGATCTTTTATTGATGAGGATTTATTTAGAATGGATGATGATATTGCGGCGTTGTCTGTCGGATCAAATTGGAGCTTCTTCCCGCTGGATCAAAACCCTGATGATGGCTCCAACAACGGCGGCGACAATAGTGGCAACAATGGTGGCGGCGACGAGGGTTCTAACTTGTGAACCTCTAATCAGAGGAAGGGGTTGCAATGGCAAAGGCGACGGCGGCTCTCTATTACTGGGTACCTGATCTTCCCATTAGTCCTTTGAGCGAGTTTGGTTGATCTCATCGAGTTCTTTATCTCTTTTTTTATTTCTATTTTTATTTAGTAAATTGTATATTTGGTTAGAATTTTGGTTAATTGTTTACCGAGTGATATCTAGATAAGGTAAAAAGGTTTGTTTGGTTGTATTTTGAAATATAAAAATTTGATTGTAATAAATATTTGATGTGATATAAATATATATTTTATTTAATATTTTGAATAAAAATAATTATATGTAACATATTAAATAAAATAAATATATAATATTATTTTGAAGAAAAAAAAAATTAAATTATTATATATGTATAGTATAAATACAAAAATAAAAATTCAACCAACTATCTCCAAAATACAGACAAATTACAAATAAAAAGTAAACTCTATTTCCCAAAGTATTTTTAAAAAAAATATATATATTAACTCAATTTATTTATTTATTTTTGCTATTATAGGTTTTAGAATATTTTCGAAGTAATATATGCGTTCAAACATATGCGTGAATGAAATATAAAATTTTCTATATTATATATTTTTCAAAAATTAAAAAAAAAATGCAATATAAATTTAATGATTAGTTAATTAATAAATTAAACACACCTTTTATAAAAACGTTAAGAACAACGTTATGTTACATTGAATTAAAAAAGTTAAATTGATTTAGACCGCCCGAAAGAAAAAAAATAAGTAAAGATATAAATAGGAGTGTGTGTACAAACCAATTAATTTTTGGACAAAATCAACAATCTATTCTTTTTAATTAATTTATTAAAATTAGAAATCAAATAATCCCTCGGTTGGTAAAAATAAAGGATAAATGATTTTTTTGCCCTTGTGAGTATATTAGTGTAAAAAGTAGTAGCAATTGTGTAATAATAATAAAAAGGTATGGATAAATTTACAGTGATATGATTATTTATAAAAATGAGACTATTGTTTTGGGACAGACAAAAATGGTAAACTATTGTAACGAGGGAGCATTTAATATTTAAAGATCCTTTCTTGATAGCCAATCAACAAGCACATATATATTAGGGCCGGCAAACATATTAGGTCGGATCGTGTTTGGGTTCGGGTCAGCTTAAACAGGTTACAAAATCCTTGACCTGAACCTGACCCATTTAATTAAATGGGTTGATATTTGCAACCTTAACCTGACCGTTTATTAATCGGGTCAACCTGAATCTAACTCGTATAACTCGTTTAATCTAAAAATTTTAAATTTTAATTTAAAATTAAAATTTATACTAACAAAATTTTTAAATGCATGATATATATACATATTAAAGCAAAAAATTATTTATTCATATCATGAAACCGATATTCAAGAATTGAATTAACAAACACTACGTAATAGTACACAACACAATCCTTTATTTTTTATTGTTTATTTTTATAAAATTGGCCATAAATATTGAATTGTATTGATAAAATTTTAAAAAAATATTTAAATTTAAAATAATAGTAATTAAACCAGTTAGACGGGTTATTTTCGGGTCGAACATGTAGACCTTAACCTGACCTATTTAATTAAATGGGTTAAACGAATTTGACCCAATTATTAATTTGGTCGAAAATCTCAACGCAAACCCAATTATTTCAGGTCAGGTTCGGGTCGAATTATCAGGTTGGATAAATTTTTGCCAGCCCTAATATATATGCTTAGAAGATGTAAACAGAAAATAATTATGTAGTTCAATATATAATACCTTCAAATTTATGTTATTAGTAGTCTTTTTATTTTAATAAATGCATATAAATATCTTTATTTATTTATTAAAAAAATTAAAATTAAACATAAGAAATTATAAATATAAAATTAATTTGAAATGAAATATTAGATTTGAGTTTTGTTTAGTTATTTGGATATAATATTTTATAAAAAAAAATAGCATATTTTTATTGAATATTTTGCTAAGTAAATAACATTTATTTGGATTATAGTGTTGGTTGCAATATTGTATAAGGGCATGTCCACCCATATCGAGTATTATTAATTTTATTCAAAAATATTATATATATACACAATATGCAATATACTCCTCTGTCCAGTTAGAAAGTATAGATATTTCTATTTTGGAACGTCCAATTACAAAGTAAACATTTCATTAAATATCTCACTTTTTTTTCACAAATACTCTTACTTTACATCACATCATTACTTTTACACAAAAAATAAAAGGCAAAAATGTCATTTTACTACTTTTAACTACACACTATAATTAAAATACTATTATTTTTTAAACGCCGCGTCAAAAGTAAATGTTTACTTTGTGTGTGGACGGAGGAAGTATATTATATACATTTATAAAATGTCATTTTACTACTTTTAACTACACACTATAATTAAAATACTATTATTTTTTAAACGCCGCGTCAAAAGTAAATGTTTACTTTGTGTGTGGACGGAGGAAGTATATTATATACATTTATAAAAAATTAATAATTTAATATAAAATATTATTTTATATTACCGATATATTTTATTTTTTTTTCATATTTCATGTAATAATCAATTTAACTAAAAATACCTAACAAATATATCTTAAAGTTTTGTCAAAATTCCGAAATTTGGGTTTGCTTGGTTTTTATTTGAAATTTAGGCGGTAATTTGAATCTTGGTTAAAATAGTATTTTAACGTAATATTTTGTGGACGAAAAATAAATTTTTTTCTTTAAAAAAGACACAATCATTATTGGAAATTTATATGCAGGATCTTTTAGGTTTATCGAATAATACCTCATTTAAAAAATATAAAATATTAATGGAAGCAAATTAGAATTATTTTATTTTTGGAGTACATAAATAAGAATTTGAGTCACATTACTCTTATATTTTCTTTGTATACTGAAATAATTTTGTAGTATATAAAATTGAAAATGACTATTAAAAAGTCAAAATGTAAATTAAATAAAAAGTAAGAAATGCAATGTTTTTTAAAATTAAAAATTGATTGAACTTTAATTATTTCTGGAATTAAATACCTCTAACTTAAAAAATAATACTTTTTATTATTACTATTATGCTTATATTATTTTCAATAATGTTCCCATATTTTATAATAAAATAGTATATTATATTCTCTATGTCCCTCTGTTTCTATTTTTTTTGTCCGTCCCACATAATTTGTCATTTAATTTTTTTAAAATATATTATAAATTTTAATTGCATTTTAAATTTTATAATTTTTTAATCTTAATTAAACTATTTAGTTATCTTAATTTATAATTATTTTTACTATACAATAATTATTGTTACTAATTTTTTAATTACTTACTAATTATACTTTATCTATATTCACATATCTACATTAACGCGTTTATATTACATAGAACGGATAAAGTAATTTTTAACAAAATATTAAAAATTACGATAATCAAACAAGATCATTAGTTTTCTAAAAAGAAATTACAATTTTTAATAACTTCATAACAAAAATTTAATAAATCATAAAAAAAAAAAAGAAAAAAACGAAACCCACTAAGCATTTTTTAAGTTTAATATTATATTTAATAGAAACAATATATTTTTTCTATAAATAATCACAGATATATTACATAATAAAAAATTAAAATCAAAATTAAAAAAAAAATACTTCCTCCGTCCCACCCACATACCATGTTCATGTTGCTGTTTCTGTCCGTCTCACATACCATATTATTTTATTTTTTGAAAAATAATTATATACTTTAATCTCATTTTAATTTTTTTAATTTTTTTTTAAATTTTAATTAAACTAATTAGTTATTTTAACTTTAATGATAATTATTTTTACTAATACATTCTTAATTATCTATTAATTACACTCCTTCTAAAATACTGTATAGCAGACACGGTACGTGGACGAGGGTACTAATAAAAAGAGGTCGACAGGCAATTTGTGGCCCAATTTGAAATGATATCATAGTACGCGGCCATATACGTAAGCATGCATGTAATGTGAATCGATGGATAAATGAAACACGTATTAATTAATTAATTAATTAATTAATTAATAGCTGGCATTATCGAAATCCAACCTGTAATCATTTGGTGTTACTAAAACAGAGTCGCGTCCCGTCACGCGCTTGCCTATTCCCATTCTCCAAATCCAGGCGGGATTATAACTAAATTTAATTTAATTACTTAATTAATTAATTAATTATTACATTAATTAACCGTATTATGTTGGCAGCCAACTCATCTTACAATTTTATTTTATTTATTTATTTATTTTATTTTCACGTTTTTAGACTATTGTTTTGAGATGAACAAAAATGGTAAATAGGACTATTGTATTGGGAATGAGGGAGTAGTATATTAGATTGTTGTTTAAAATTAATTTAAATGGAGTGTTTGTTTGAATTTTTGATTAAATATAGTATTATTTGTTAAAATATATTTAGAAGCAATATATTATATTTATGGTATTTGTTTTATTTAAAATATTATTTAAACGATTTGTATATCATTATAAATACGTGTTTATTGTTATTATTGCAATAGAAAATTTCAATTTCATATTCTAACACTATTTAATGTAACATTTTGTAAAATTAAATAATATGTTTTTATTGAAAATTGTATCAAATAAATAATGTTGATTTTTATTTAAAATGTAAACCAACTCTTAGTTTAGACAAAGATTTATGAAATTTAAAAAAAAAAAAAACATTAAAAATAGCAAAATTTTAATATAATATTTTATTAAAAAAATAAATATTTGATGTAATTTCTTTTTCTAAAAAAAAACAAAAAAAAAAAAAAAACTACTTAATGATCAATAATATCAAAATTTTTGAAAATAAATATATAAATATAACTTATTTTTCAAAAAATACTTATTCCATCTCACATTTCATATTTATATTGTCATTTTAGTCACTCTCACATCTCTTGTATAAATTTTTTTTTAAAAAAAAAATTATTTTAATCACATTTTAATCCATAATTTATAATTGTTTAATTTTAATTAAATTAATTTATTATATTAATTTTAATTAAACTAAATAATTATTTAAATAATAATATATTTTGAAATGAAAACAAAAATTGCATTATAAATTAAATTTCACGAAAAATCATAATTCAACACAGTTTTTTTTTTAAAATAAAAATAAAAATATTTATATATAATATATACTTCATTCTTCCTATTTTATTTTAAATAATATATTTGATTAGAGATACGATTTTTAAAGTGATGATATTTAATTAATTAATAATAATAATAATATATAATATTATATTTTTTATTTTTTTTATAACGAGTATATTTAATAATTTTAAAATAAACAATAACAATGCTTGGTTAAAAAAATTATAATAATGTGTATTTAAATATTTTTATAATTATATCTTAATAAATATATAAAATATAGATATTATTTTGTAAAGTATATAATTTTATATAATACAAATAAATTAAATATATTCATTTATTTATTTATAATTAATATAAATTAATTTTATAAAAAAATTAAATATAAATTAAAATATTTATTTATTGAGAACAAAAATTCAAATGAATCGAATACGAATAATATATTTTTATTTGTTCTTAAATTTGTTGGTATAAAAAAAAACAAATAATATAAAAAAAAGTATTGTAACATATAAGAATTAGTAAATTAAATAATAAATATCGCAGAAAAAATTGAGAAAAAGGCAAGCGTTCATAAAATACTTTGGTAATGAGAATAATACCGCCGTAGTTAGGGGTGAGCATTCAGATTTTCGGTTTTGCCAAATTCGAATCGATCCAAAAATCTAAATTTTTTTAAAAAAACAATCCGAACCGAACCGAAATAACCGAAATTCAAAATCCGAAAATCCTTAATCCTAACTAAAAAATTCGAATCAAACCGAAAAATCCGAAATTCTAAATATTTTTATTGTTATTTTTAAAATTTTTAAATTTCTTTTAAATTTTATTATTATTTTATAATATTAAATATATATAATATATAAAAATTAAATATATTAAAATATAATTAATAAATTTAAGTTTTTTATATTAAAATATAATATTTTCTAATAAAATATTAAATATATATAATAAAAAAATATATTAAAAGATTATATTTCGGATTTCGGATTGATTCGAATTTTAAGTATATCGATCCGATCCGATCCGAAAATCCAAAATTTGTTAAAATTTCAATCCGAATAATCCGAACCAAATTTTAAATTTCGATTAGATTCGAATTGAATTTTCGGATTTCGGATATTTTGGTCACCCTAGCCGTATAATAATAATAATAATAATAATAATAATAATAATAATAATAATATAATATATAATAATAGCAAATAAAAATAAACAATGTTAATAAGAAGAAACGCCCGTTGAAAAGCAGCGTAATACCTCTTTCTCCTCTTTTCATCATTCTTCTTCCTTCTCCGCTTCAATTACCGGCCGACTGCGCCATGGCCACGCCGGTAGACCTCTCCGCCGCCGCCCTAACGGTTATTGGAGATGTTTCTCGGATCTCCGCCGCCGGATTCTCTGGGTTTTTCAAAAAGGATTGCGCGGATTTGGCAAGGAAACTCTCTCTTTTGTCGCATTTGGTCGAAGAGATCAAAAACTCGGGTAAATTTTCAGTGGATTATGACTTCCGAACCGATTCATCTTCTCTATTGGCCTCTGGATTTTCTGATCTAAATCTAGTTCTTCACGCCGCCAAAGAACTCCTTTCCGCGGCTAATAACTTCGATGATTCCGAACTCTCTGGGGTAATAATGGTATGGCAATACATACCAATGCACTTGTTGTGTATCAATTTTCTTTGTGCCTAGGGTTAATTCTCAATTTATCTGTAATTGATAGTCCAAATGCTTTGTATTGTATGCTTTATTTTATAGATGAATTGTGCGAAATCTCTCTTTCAATCTGGTGCTCTTGAATTTGATTGATTCATTGTTATAGGGAAATATAGTTTGATATTTAGCAGTGCCTTTGTTTTCTTCACGTTCTGATATGTGAAACATTAAAATTCAGTATATATCTAAGAATTGCTTGTGTCCAATTTTGAGGATGAAGATGAAAATGCTTTATCTATGGGTTTTGAATCTCTCTTTGTGTAATGTTTGGAGGATCATCTTTTAGATCAAAATTTTATCTAGGAGATGCTTTAGCTTTCGACATTCTAACTGAATAATTTGGTAAAATATAGTATAAACTCACCATGGTTGTCCATTCCTCGGAATCTAAGTTTGGAAACAAAAAAGAAAAGTGCATTAGGTGAAAGGAATCTGTGAATGTTTGTCTTGATTACCTTCCCATAGATGCGGAGATGCTCGAATATTTGTTTCCGAATGTAGCCGCCAATAGTTATTACTATATATATATGTACACGTATATATATTTGACCACGCGCTAATATTTCGAGCGTGGGCGCGTGCGCTTCAAATACCTTTGGTGAGTATACATTACTCAAGTTAATTCTTTCGAATGTTATATCACTAATCCACCAAGAGTCACTGCTGTTCCTTTAGGAGTCGACTCTCAGAATACTGCAGGAAGAGTTTCGAGTTTCGTTCTTGAGATTTGGACATTTTAACTATTGAGCTTCGATCCACATTGTTGGTCTTTTAATGAACAAGGATAAACGATGTTTTTCTACACAAACATTTATTGGTATTTTTTTGATAATGTGATCCTTGATTTTGGGGAAATGGTGATGTGAATGATGTTTCCTCAGTAAATACGATCCGAGCTAATCTTTTTAGCTTTCGTTGTGTTCTTTGTTGGAAGGACGGGCGCACGAAGAAAATTTTCTTCCAGTTTCAATGTGTGACAGGGAATTTGGAGAAAGCTCTAGCGAACATACCTTACGACTGTTTTGGTATATCGGAAGAAGTTGTGGAACAGGTTAGTGTAAATCGTGGTCTTACTGTCGTTACTGATGCTAGATTCTTGACGTATTCCCTTTTCCAGGTTGATTTAATTCGGGCGCAGTTAAGGCGATCCGTTGAAAGATATGGAGGCGCTCTAGATTCGATTAGGGCTTCGGATCAGCTTCAAGACAAAGAGAATAATCCATCTCTGTCTGGTAAGAAGCTTTTTGAGAATTTACATCTGAGAAACATAGTCTATATAAATGCGATCATCTTGGCAGGGGGCTGTGGGATCACATTTCGTTCTTCGGACGAGGTTACGAATTTGGAAAAGCTGCAGAACTTGTCGACTTCATCTGATGTTAATGTCGCAAAGGATTCTCCTAGTAAGGATTCTCTTGTGATTCCTGATGAGTTTCGTTGCCCGATATCTCTCGAGATTATGAGGGATCCGGTTATCGTGGCGACAGGGCAGGTAAAATTTTCGAAGAAAATTCGACATTTTAACGATTTCTGCGAATTGGCTAGCTCTTATATCATTTCTTTTTTTTCGATTCAGACGTATGAGCGAGTTTATATACAGAGATGGGTCGACGGCGGGAACACAACATGCCCGAAAACGCAGCAGAAGCTTAAGAATCTAACCCTCACTCCGAATTTCGTCTTGAGAAACCTGATTTCGCAGTGGTGCGAGGAGCATAAAATCGAGCATCCGATGCCGTTAGTGAACGGGAGGATAAAACAGAGCGACGGGACGTTTCGGGACGTGACGGCGGATATAATAGCCATCGGCGATCTGGTTCGTAAGCTCTCGAGCTTATCGATCGAGGAACGTCGAGCTGCCGTCGCCGAAATCCGGTCACTCTCCAAACGAAGTACAGACAACCGGATCTTGCTCGCGGAGGCGGGCGCTGTCCCGATCCTCGTCAAGCTTCTTATGTTCAACGACAGGCAGATTCGAGACAACGCCGTAACGTGTCTCCTCAACCTCTCGATTTACGGCAACAACAAGGGGCTGATCATGCTCGCCGACGCCGTCCCGTCGCTCGTGGAAGTCGTCGCGTCGGGAAGCGCAGAGGCAAAAGCCAATGCCGCCGCTACACTCTTCAGCTTGTCATTGGTTGACGAAAACAAGATCATCATCGGCGGCGAATTGGGGGCGATACCCGCGTTGGTCGATTTGCTGCGGGACGGGAACCCGGAAGGGAAGCGGGACGCGGCGACGGCGCTGTTCAATCTGTGTATGTATCAGGGGAACAAAGGGAGGGCTGTTAGGGCTGGGATCATAGGTGCATTGATGAAGATGCTTACTGATTCCATGGAAGACGAAGCTCTGACGATTCTGTCGATTCTCGTCGGCCACCACGACGCGAAGGCAGCAATCGGGAAAACGAGCATGATTCCGGCGCTGGTCGATCGGTTACGGCGGGGAGGATTGCCGCGGAACCAAGAGAACGCGGCTGCGATTTTGCTGTCGTTGTGCAAACGGGATGAGGGGAATCGGGAGTTTCTGATTAGGCTCGGCGCAGTGGTGCCGCTGTCGGAGATTGCGGATTCGGGGACGGAGAGGGGGCGGCGGAAGGCGGCGGCGCTGTTGGAAGTTCTCCGGCAGGTACGGCGGCGTTAAGGTGGTTTGTTTTTTTACCGGGAAGTTTGAGGTTTGCACAAATTTTACAGTGTGCAAAATTCGGGAATGGAGGGAGGGAAGTTTTATATAGATAAGTTACCGTGGGTTTTTAGGTGTATTTATTTATTTATTTTCTTCATTCTTGGGTTACCGTGGTAAAGAAATTGGATTATGTCTTCTTTTTTTTTTTTTTTTTTAATATAGATATAGAGAGAAAAATAAATATTGGTTTTTTTTTTTGCCATAAGAAATTAAAGTAGAAAAGTTGGTCGGTTTGGGGCAATGGTTTGATTTGTGTTAAGTTTGTTTCGGACTGAATTTTTAAAATGGGTAGAATCATTTAATTTTAATTTGATATTATTATTGTATTGGGCTTATATTCATTCGTATATGTAATTGGATTGAAATAATAAATTTAAGGGGGTGTATTCAATATAAATTTTGTAGGATTTTATTGGACTTCAATCAGATTTTTAAAATTTTTTTAAAATCCTAAGATATTCAACTCAACAATTATTATTATTATTATTATTATTATTATTATTGTTGTATATATGATCAATAATATGATAATATTTATTACTATTATTATAATTTTTAATAAAAATAATAATTTAAAACTAAAATATATTAGCAAATTATTATGATTTTTTTTAAAAATATATATTTTTATATTATAAATATAATTTTAAAAAATATTACTCGCTCCGTCCCAAAAGATTTGTCTTGTTTTTTCATTTTCGTCCGTCCCAAAACAAATGTCTTGTTTTCTTATTTAGTAGTAGTGTGGTCTCCACTTTATAAAAAAAAATTTCTTACTTTTTCATACTACCCATAATTATTACTCTAACATACTCTTTAAACAAGGGCATTTTAGTCATTTACATTCTATTTTATACCAACTTTCAATTAAATACTATTATTCTTTAATTCATGTGCCAACTGTCATCTTTTCTTTTACATTATATTATCATTACCGATAACGGTGAAATAAATATTTAAATATATATTTTTTGTTGAACGGTTAATTTATTTTTATTTATTTATTTTAATATTTTTTTCAAAACTCATAAATTATTTATTTATTTATTTTAATATAACCATTTTACATAAAAAGTAAATACATATATATTATTTATTAATACTTATATATTATTTATTAATATTAAATATTTTCTTATTAATAATTATTTATTATATTTATAAAATTTCTTATTTGATATAAATTTATATAATTAATATATATGCAAAAAAAATTATTTTAAAATCCTACAAAATCCAATAAATGCATAAAGAATTCAATCAAATCCGTAGAAATATCTAAATCAATTAGTAAAATCCATCAAACTCAACGTATACTCTGTGGATTTTCTAAATCCATGTAAATCCATAAACTTTTTAAAAATTCAAAAAAATCCATTAAAATCCCAATTGAATACACTTCCCTAAAACTCAATTATTTTGCAATGAATTTGTATTGAATTATTGTATCATGTTAAGTTAAAATTATTTTATGTATAAAAATAAGTTAATTAATTAATATTAATAGTAATATATAACCAAGTTGTGTATCGAGTTCAAATTGAGGATCTCAACTCTAATCCGATATATTCTCAATTATTTTATATTGGATTCGTGTCGGATTAATTTTTATTAATTCTAGGCACTTAGGCAGAATATACAAAATTTATAATATTAGTGTGGCTTTGTTCTTTTTCACGATTTTTTCGCACGTTCTTCCAAAAAATTTAATACACTTTGATAAATTTATTATTTTTATATTTTTTACACAATTTTATATACTTTCACATAAAAAAATTTCTTTTTTCAATAATCTTACAAAACAAACACCCATAAAATTACATGCAGTTTCCAAACAATAAAATTATATCACTTAAAAAAATAAAACTAAAAAATTATATATCACTTTTTATAAAATAAAATTATACTCCCTCCGTCCTATAACAAAGTATCCATTTTTTCATTTTAGTCCGTCCATAACAAAGTATCTATTTTCTTTTTCAGTAACTGTACTTTATACCTAACGTTACAAATACCCTTACAACTTACAATATATTACACAAATGTCATTACCTTTATATCACACGTACTAATAAGGGTATTTTAGTCATTTCTACTTTATTCCTACTATATCTCAATATAATACTAATATTTATAAAACTACGTGTAAAAAGCAAATGAATACTTAGTTTCGGGACGAAGAGAGTATATTATTTTCCTAAAAACCAAAATCACATAAAATATCTCTTTCAAAAAATGGAGTGAGCTGCGGAATTGGGTTTAGCCCAACTCAAATTTAACACAATCCACTAGTGGGTTGAAGTTGCTCTAAATTTATTTAAAAATTATACTCTTTGTGTCCCGTAAGATAATTTTCTTTATTAGGAACATGGTATTTTAGATATGATATATTATGATTTTATTTTTTTATTTTTTTATGTTAAAATATTATTGATATTTTAAAAATATGAATTAATATATGATTAAAAAAATTAGAATATATTTTAAAATATTTTTAGCATTATATGTCACTAATAAATATACAATATGCATCTTATTTTATAATAATAAAATTTTATATAATATAAATAAAAATTATACTCCGTCCGTCCCATTGAAAGGTTACCATTTTTCATTTTCGTCCGTCCCAAAAAAAGTTACTATTTTCTAATTTAGTAATTGTATTACATACTTCACATAATAAATACCCTTTCAACTTACAATATATTACACAAATGTCATTACTTTTATATTACATCATACTAATATGGGTATTTTTTTTTTTTACTACAATCCAATATAATACTAATATTAAAAAATCTACGTGTAAAAAGCAAACATCGCCCTTGTTACGGGACGGAGGGAGTATATCTATTTATAATTAACTTAAAACTAATTCAATAAAAATAAATTTTTTAATATATAGATAAAAAAAAATATTTGTTTACTATGAAGAAATAAAAAATAATAAAAAAAAAAGTATTGAACAAATCCGTAAAAAATTAAAAATTTAATTAAATTAATTCATATTTATTAAATATATTTAAAATAAATAAATTTAATAAAAAAAATAAAAGTAGGACATCTTTCGTCCAACCAAACGTTAACAATAATAATAATAATAATAATAATTCGGAGAGAGTGCTTGTCAATATTGGAGCATTCTGTACAAATAATAATAATACTCCCTCCTACCACGGATAAAGTATACATTTATTTTTGGCGCGGAGTTTAAGAAATAATAGTATTTTAGTTATAGTGGGTAAGTAAAAGTAATGCAATGATATTTTTGTCCTTGTTTTTTGATATAAAAGTAATGATGTGATGTAAAGTAAGGGTATTTGTGGAAAAAAGTGAAGTATTTAATGAAATGATTACTTTGTAATTGGACGTCCCAAAATAGAAATATGTATACTTTGTAGCTGGACGGAGGGAGTAATAATAATCGGTGGTGTAGGGGTTGGACCTGTGATCGTGAGGTCATGGGTTTAAACCCCCGACACCTCAGGTTATCTAATATACATGGTTCGCATAGTGTGATTTTTCCGTCGGGCCTGATTTACAGAGTATTAGGTTCGATCGAGGATAGTACGCACTTTTAGGTAGCGGCTGCGGGTTCTTATGCGTCCAAAAATAATAATAATAATAATAATTGGTAGATAAACAGCAGCACAAAATTTAAATTAAATTAAGGAAAGTGTTGACTGGGCAAAGAACAGACAGAAGAATGGGTCATTTGACAACAAGCAAGCAGACCTGCCTACTAGCTATTTCATTTCTAAATGGATCGGATCCGCATTTAATTTGTCTATATTTTTTATTTTTATCCGTGATGCACAATTTGCTCTTTTTTTTTCTTTAGAAATATAATTATGCATTTTAATCGCATTTTAAATTTTATAATTTTAATTAAATTATTTAGTTATCTTAATTTTAATCATTAATTATTTTTATTATACAATAATTATTTTTACTTAATACACTTCTTAATTACTTATTAATTATACTTTACCTAAATTTATGTATCTACAATAATACATTTCAAATTACATAGAACGGACAGAGTAATAATTAGATTACATTTATTTCTACTTTATTACAATGTAATACTAATATTTCTAAAACTCCGTGCAAAAACAAATTGATATATAGATATGGGACGAAAGGAGTATATTATATCTTTATTTTTACATATATTTGTTAATATATTTACAAAATTATTTATTTAAAAATATATTTAACTTATTAAATTGGGCTGGCACGACCCAACTTTAAAAGGTTTAGACCCGGCCAAGTTCATTGTAGCGTCGAGCTGGCATGACCTAAAACATTTTCAAACTTATTTTTCTAGATCAAAGTACGATTTTTTTTTTTTGTGTCGAATTTGAATCTAATTTTTTAAGTGCGTCTATTTTTGTCGGCTCTAATTATATGAAATTGTATATTATGTGCAATTAGTGCATATATTGTATTTATATTATGTTAATATAAATAATAATTAGTACTATATATATTACATAAGCATTATGTTAATGAAAATCATATAGGAGTATTATTTGTTTTATAGCGAATTTAGTATATATTATGTAGGGTAAACTGTTTTTTTACTCCGGTAACTAGACCCCCTTATCATTTTAGTCCCGTAAGTGGAGCCTGTCGCAAACTAGTCTCATAAGTGAAATTTTTTCGATATTTTAGTCTTTCGGTGCTGGAGATGCCCGCGTAGCTCGTTGGACTTTGACCTGGCGGACACGTGAATTTTTTTTTTTCATTTTTTTTAAAACTTATTTTTAATTTATTTTAAATTTTATTTGTATTTTTTTAATTTTTTTTATTTGGTCCAATTAAAAATAAAAAATAAAAAAAATAAAAAAATGAAAAAAAAATAAATCCATGTGTCCGCCAGTTGTCGCTGACCTGGCGGGACACTTGGCGGACACGTCACCTCCGGCAAGCCACGCGGGCGTCTCCGGCATCGGAGGACTAAAACAACGAAAATTTTCACTTATGGAACTAGTTTGCGACAAGCTCCACTTACAGGATTAAAATGATAAAGGGATCCAGTTACGAGATTAATAAAACAGTTTACCCTATTATGTATATGACTAATGTACAAAACAATTAGTTTTTCGCCTCCAATAAAGTGCTCAAATTAGTA